GCCTCAAAATGGCCCCGATCTCCCATCTGCACCAGGAGACCGGCGTCCTCCCTTTGCCCGAGCACCTGGACCTGGCCTGCGCCCAGTTCCTCGCCAGCGCCCTCCAGTCCTCCCACGCCTCCTTTCGCATGGTTTCTGCCCCTCTGGGTGACCGCCCTATGAAAGCCTCGATACAGTCAAGGTTCGGCCATCTTGTCACACCACTCTTGACAAATGGTATCCTGCCTGCCGGGACATACGGAGAAGCCAAGCGGTCTCTCCGCAGGGAGATCACCTCCCGCGTGGCGGCGACTGCCGCCATAAACGCTGTCCTTGCTGCCCCGCCGCCGCCGATTGCTTCAGCGGAGACCTCTCTCCCTCGCCCCTACCGCTCAGCGTTATCCCAGCTCCGCTCGGGATACTGCAGCTCCCTGGCGTCCTATTCCGCCAGGATCGGACGCTCCCCTAGCTCCGCCTGCCCGGAGTGCGGGGATCCACTCCAGTCGGTTCAGCATCTCTTCGTCTGCCCCGCCTTCCCCACGTCTCTCAGCGTCTTCTCACTGTGGGACAGCCCCGTGGAGGCAGCGGCTTTCCTGGCCACCCTCCCTGCCTTCGCCCATCACCTCCCTCATCCGGTGCCGGCCCCCCGCCCTCCACCAGAGCCTCCCTCCGGCGAGCGTGACGGTCGCAACTAACAACAACAACATTGCTCTCTCTGGAGGCTATTGCTCCCTCTGGAGGCTATTACTCCCTGTGTGAGGCTATTGCTCCCTCTGGAGGCTGTTGCTCCCTCTGGAGGCTATTACACTAACGAGTATCGCGCAGTAAATGCATGCAAAATAATTTTCGTACCGCGTTTATCCAGCTCCATAACTTCGGACTGAAGATTGAAGCTGTTTTTCTCGAGTTACTTTGAGATTATTTAGCGTTCATAACAAATTATTTACAGCATTTGAGTTGATTTGTTGTGTGCTGCTGCCTGTGTCTTCCCATACAAATGTATATCAACATATTTTGACGTTGAATTTTTGAACTGATGATTGTAAATAGAATATAAATCGTATTAGGGTGTGTAAACGAAGGGTGGTCAGTGTGGCGGTGCTGGTAAAGCCTACTTTTTGTGGTAGGTGTGCTCTATCAGCCCACTCCTCCGCTCTTATATGCCCACTTTCCCACTCTTATCGCCCCTCCCTGTCCCAGGAACAAAGAGCGATGCGACACCAGGCCCGGGGGCTGCAGTTCCCTGTTCCAGCAGTTAATAGCAGTTCCCTGTCCCAGCAGCAGTTTCATGTCCCAGCAGTTAATTGCAGCTCCCTGTCCCAGCAGCAGTTTCCTGTCCCAGCAGTAAGCATTTTCCTGTCCCAGCAGTAAGCATTTCCCTGTCCCAGGAACGAAGAACGATGCGACGCCAAGCCCGGGGGCAGCAGGGCGGGTGGGGCGGACGCTGCTCACAGCGTTGCAGTTTGTGGTGACGCTCTGGACGCGGGCGTGGCGCTCCTGCACACCCTGGCCCACCAGACACACGCTGCACCCACCTCGCCTACTGCCCACCTCTGCTTCAAAGTGCCCTTAGTGAGTGCCTTCTGTGAGGTTATTGCTCCCTATGTAGGCTATTGCTCCTTCTGTAGGCTATTGCTCCCTCTGGAGGCTATTGCTCCCTCTGGGGCTTCTCCAAGGAGGACATAGTTGCCACCTACCGTGCCATCACGCACCCAGTTCTCAATTATGCGGCCCCCATCTGGTACCCTGTTGCCTCCCGTACAGCAGTTGCCAGCCTGCAGATTATACAGAATACTGCATTGAGACTAGCCACCGGCTGCCTCAAAATGGCCCCGATCTCCCATCTGCACCAGGAGACCGGCGTCCTCCCTCTGTCCGCGCAGGTAGACCNCGTGACGTGTCTACGTGACGTGTCTACGTGACGTGTCCACGTGACGTGCCCACGTGACGTGTCTACGTGACGTGTCTACGTGACGTGTCCACGTGACGTGCCCACGTGACGTGTCTACGTGACGTGTCTACGTGACGTGTCCACGTGACGTGCCCACGTGACGTGTCTACGTGACGTGTCTACGTGACGTGTCCACGTGACGTGCCCACGTGACGTGTCTACGTGACGTGTCTACGTGACGTGTCCACGTGACGTGCCCACGTGACGTGTCTACGTGACGTGTCTACGTGACGTGTCCACGTGACGTGCCCACGTGACGTGTCTACGTGACGTGTCTACGTGACGTGTCCACGTGACGTGCCCACGTGACGTGTCTACGTGACGTGTCTACGTGACGTGTCCACGTGACGTGCCCACGTGACGTGTCTACGTGACGTGTCTACGTGACGTGTCCACGTGACGTGCCCACGTGACGTGTCTACGTGACGTGTCTACGTGACGTGTCCACGTGACGTGCCCACGTGACGTGTCTACGTGACGTGTCTACGTGACGTGTCCACGTGACGTGCCCACGTGACGTGTCTACGTGACGTGTCTACGTGACGTGTCCACGTGACGTGCCCACGTGACGTGTCTACGTGACGTGTCTACGTGACGTGTCCACGTGACGTGCCCACGTGACGTGTCTACGTGACGTGTCTACGTGACGTGTCCACGTGACGTGCCCACGTGACGTGTCTACGTGACGTGTCTACGTGACATGTCCACTTAACGTGTCCACGTGACGTGTCTACGTGACGTGTCCACGTGACGTGCCCTCGCATTAATGTCGTTCATTATTAATTATTATATGTCGCATTAATGTCGTTCATGATTAATTGTTATATGTCGCATTAATAATATATAATTATTAATTATATAGTATTATTTAAGTCGTGCAGACGTGACGTAGGCACGACTCTTATGTGTCGCATTAATCGCGTTCATTATAAATGGTTCACTGCTTTATATATATTCAAGTATATTTGTTCTATTGATAAATTATGCATGTTAATATATCAAACGTTAATCATATTCGTTATATTGTTAAATTATATATGTAATATATCAAGTGTTGATTATATTTGTTCTATTGTTAAATTATGTATGTTAATATATTAAACGTCAAATATATTAGTTCTATTGTTAAGTTATGTATCTTAATATATTAAACATTATTTGTTATATTATTAAATTACATATGTTAATGTATAAAGATGTTAATTATATTGATGGTTGGCAGGTGAGGCAGAGCTGTGCAGCCTCGCGGTGTGTGAGGCGCTGGCGTCGCTGGGAGGCAGCAAGCGCGGGGTGCTGACACCCCACATCCCTGCCCTCCTGTCATACCTGCAGACCTGCACCCCTGCCTCCCCTGCCTCTACACGCCTCACTGTACGTGGCATG